AGGATAATAACAGGACCACGTACAATTTATCGTGCAAAACAATGAAATCAAAGAAACACGTTTGTTAGGAAAACAAGGTAGAAAACAACAGTAGTATTATGATCAACTTCATTCATATGATAAAAGAAAGGGGCTTAATTAAATCAGTAATTACAATGAAAATGGAGTGTTCATCAAGTGTGTCTAACGAGAAAACGTCAAAACCTTCTGTTCAGGTTGAGAAAACTTAAACAGGGAAAAAAAAAAAACATCATGGTTTCCATTCGAGATGGAAAATACTAGTAAGGAAAACATCAACAGGACAACAATATACCATCTCAAATGAACATGATTTCCTACCTTCCTTAGAAAAGCTGACATTTCGTAACAGATTAGATAAGTGCCCTTAACACATACGATATACGTGTGGTGCATATAAGTGTCCTTAACCCTTTGAGGGTCCGTCCCGTAGATCACGGCTTTACGTTCAGGGTCCAAAAACCCTAGATCTACGTCATGAGCTCAGCTCACTCTGATAAACTGTGAGTGGTACATTTGGGGCCCAGATATGACAGAATACATCTATGTGGTATGTGTGCACCACATAAAACAGATCCTGCAGCACGCTGTTGTATAATGAGAGAAAAAACTGAAATCATGATTTTTCGATTAAAACAGCGACTTTGCGTGTTTTTTCGTATGTTTTTTTTAGTTTTTATTTGCGATTTCTTGGTCTCATTTGATAGAATGGAAGACATATTACAGAAATAGAGATGATTTTGATTGGTTTTTAGCACGGAAATGCTTTTAAACTGAGCTCAAAGTAGCAGAAATGTTTAAATTTTTGCCGATATTCAAGAGTAAACAAACGACCTCACACGTCTAATACACGCCAGCTGGTGGGTCTAATATGCATTCACATATATGTGGAAAATTTATACAATTATACAGTATGCATAACATAACTCTTCTATTTTTTGGGGTGAATAAAAATTCATTATGTGAATAAAAAATCAAAATGGAATTTATTTGTAAAGCCTCAAAACGTAACTAATGAACAGAGGAAATGTAGTTAAGTTCTAGGAATACCTACATTGTTTATTCTGGACCCTATTTTTTAAATTGGAATATTTTGAACTTTGTGTTAAATTGACCAAATTAACAATTTCAATCATTTATTTTGTAGTTGAAAAGTTGACTTGGCGATTTCTTGTGCCCCAGTCGATAGAATAGAAGTAATACTAGTGAAATAGCTAAGAATTTGGTTGACTGGAATAATGTAATTGGCCTAAAATGGGAGTCAAAGTCGGCAAAATCGCCGATTCGTAAATATCGCTGACACATCAAAATTCGCGAGAGCATAATTTCGTCAATTTTTCCATCAAATTTCGTACTTTTTGTTTTATTACATTCACAAAAAGATTCTCTACCATTTCATAAGAAAAAATAAAATTTTTTTTTTTTTGAAATTCTTGGACACTGGGGCACCACTTCAGATTTGGCCTTGGACCCTGAAGTGGTTTAAAATATTATATACGTGTGGTGCATATAGTGTACGTTACTATTACATTATTGTGCATTATTATTTTTTTTTTTCCTTTTACTAGCTAATACCACTACCTCAAATACTTTTTACTTCTTTTTAATTGCTATTAATTGCTCAACTTTTGTGTTGCAAGTCAGATCTTACTTCCAAATTAATGTTATTCATGGTTGCTACCTGTGCATTTAATTTAGTTTACCACTACTTTTTTTAGCCTCTTTATTTTTGTGTGTGCAATTAGTGTATATTCCAATTACATTATTGTGCAGTCCCAAAACTATCTTTTGCTAGCTAGCACACCAACTACCTCATATTTTTTTTATTTTTTTTAGTGCAATTTTAAATTTTTCAACTTATATATATTACAAATCATCTTACTTTTCCAAAACAATATTATTTTTACTATAGTGACTATCTGTCCATTTAACTTTGTTTAACCATTACTTAATTTAGCCCCTTATAATTTTCTCCTTATTTAGCTTTACATAACAACCTCAAATTCATATTTCAAATATTGTTAAAATAATCAAGGTGCTATTCTCAGGTGCTAAAGTGTAATCAGTTCACTATTTTGCCATTATATTTCCCAAGCTCCTTTATTTGATTACCACTTTTATTTTGTTCACCACAAAGTTGTTTTTTAGTCCCTTTTATAATTGTCTCCTTTATTTTTGGTTTAAAGAACTACCTTACTCAAATTTTTACATTTGTTAAAATAATTCCCGGTGCTATTTTTTTAGCTTTAGAATATTTACTTTGTCTAACTTAACTCTAACATAGATTCACTATAAAATCTTATGATTACAAGCATTGATCCTGATACCAACCTCTTATTGAATAACTTAAATGAATCAAACAGTAACTAATTACACACAGCAGAACAATCAAAGGCACTTCTCTGACCAACAACAACATAACTGTCTTTAACTGCAATATCAGATCTTTAAGCAAACATTACGATGACCTCATAGCATTACTAAATTCCCTGCATGCCAGTATATCCATCATTACTCTCACCGAAACCTCGCTAAAACCTGATACTACAGATGTCTATGCCATTCCTGGTTACACAGCCATACACAACTGTAGGCCAGATCAATAAGGGGGTGGCACAGCTGTATACTACTTGGACCAACTAGAATGATCACTAATACTTGCACAAAGATAACATGGGGAATATAAATAGCTAAATCAAATCCAAAAACCTACAAAAACCTCTCACAGTGATAAACATCTACAGGTACCACAGTCAAACATTAGCCGTTTAGTGAAAACCTAGGAAGTATGTTTAAATGACGCACCGCAAGAATGAAGATCACTAAATACCTCAGGTGACTTCAGTATAAATCTCCTGCAAAACCAGGGCCCACACGTTACTGAATTCACAAAAAACTATGAGTAACTGCATGTTGCTACCAACAGTAACAAAACCTACAAGAATTACAGAGACTAGTGTTCCCTACTAGACCACATCGACCAACACCATATCCCCTTTTAAAATCAGGCATAATCACAGATAATACCATAGACCACAACCCTACCTTCCTCATAACTAATCTAGGCAAATTAACCCCAAGACACTACTGAAGTCACTTTCAGACTTCACAAATGAGGCAGCCATTAATTTTTTTTTTTTTTTTTTTTTTTTTATTTATTTATTTTATAATTTAACATACATACAAGGTACAAAAAAATATAGGTAAGAGCAGCATGCCAAAGCCACTTGTATGCACAGCATTATGGCAGGCTTAAAATTAACTTAAGATTAACTAAGCAACGATGTAATCATGATAAAACATTATTGTAAACAATAACAATAAAGCACAAATGAAATATTACAAAGACAGGTCATATGGGTTGCATGCATTGCTGTACATCAGTAAGGGTTATTCTGTTGGTAGTGATTTAAAAAAAACAAAATTAAAG